GCCTTCCTCCTCCTATGATGCTGCTTGGCCTGTTGTGTTCATCCAGCTCTGCACCTTGTTGTCTCAGATTTTCCAGCATCTGCAGTTCCGACTATCCCCAGAACATTATCTGGGTCTCTGGATTAACAGTCCAGCAATAATACCGCTAGGCCATTGCCTCCCTAAAGGGACAGATGCAGTTCGCAGATTGGTGGGGATGAGGTCAAGTATGTTTTTCCCTCTTGTTGGTTCCCTCACCACCTGCTGCAGACCCAGTCTAGCAGCTATGTCCTTTCAGACCCGACCAGTTCGATCAGTAGTACTGCTGCCGAGCCACTATTGGTGGTAGACATTGAAATCCCCACCCAGAGTACATTTTGTGCCCTTGCCATCCTCAGTGCTTTCTCTAAGTGTTGTTCAACATTGAGGAATACTGATTCATCAGCTGAGGGAGGACAGTATGTGGTAATCAGCAGGAGATTTCCTTGCCCATGTTTAACCTGAAACCATGAGACTTCATGGGGTCTGGAGTCAATGTTGAGGACTCCTAGAGCAACCCCCTCCTGACTGTATACCACTGTGTCACCCCCTCTGCTGGGTCTGTCCTGCCGGTGGGACAGGTCATATCCAGGGATGGTGATGGTGGTGTCTGGGACATTGTCTGTAAGGTACAATTCTGTGAATATGACTATGTCAGGCTGTTGCTTGACGAGTCTGTATTGTGAGGATGTTGCCTGGGATGGAGTATTTCAACTGTGAAGACGGGCTGGATAAACTTGAGTTGGTTTCCTTGGAGCAGAGGAGGTTAAGAGGGGACATGATAGAGGTGTATAATATTATGAGGGCAGGGGTGGATAGGAAGCAGCTGTTCCCCTTAAGTGCAAGGGTCAATAAATACAGGGCATAATTTTAAGGTAAAAGGCAGGAAGTTTACAGGGGATTCGAGGCAAGTTTCTTTCAGCCAGAGAGTTGGGGGGTGGTGGTGGCAGTGGTCTGGAATGCACTGCCTGGGAGGGTAGTTGAGGGGAGAACCTACCACTTTTAAAAAGTACCTGGAAGGGCATCTGAAGTGTCATAACATTCAAGACTATGGGCCTACTGGGGGAAAAGTGGGGCTGGTGAAGGTGGTAATAATCTTTTGGCAGTACAGACTTGATGGGCTGAGGGGCCCCTTCTGTACTGAACAATTGTATGATTCTTCTGCAACTGTCAACAACTGAATCTCATTGTCTGAAATTCAAAGGAATTGTGTGAAATGAATCCACACTTTGACCACAGGGCTAATTTTACTAGCTTTCCCTTTTTATCTAATTTATCGCCCCATACAATAGCTCTACAGAGTGGCGTATGCCTTCGTTCTGCCTGTGTACAGAGATGTGGGTGTTTGTGATTAAGGCGGATATAGTTGAACTTTCTTGATGACCGGTTCACTACTTGTTTTAAGAATATGTTTGACTGTAATAACTGTGTTAGTTTAGAGTCTATTGAGAAACCTGGTCACACTCTCTCCTATTCTAGTTAACAACAAAAAGAGAAATAAATCTATCATTCTTGTTGATTGAACAAGATATTTGCATGCTTGGTATGACTTGTGGAGTCATGGGACTGGATTCCCACAGCACTCCGCTTGTTAAGAGTTCTGACATTACGCCCTACAGACTCACACCAACAGCGTGGGTTCAATTCCTGTATTGGCTGAGCTTATCACAAAAAGTCCCACCTTCTTGACCTCACCCTTTGTCTGAGGCATTGTGACCCTGAAGTTAAACCACCACCAGATTTGTCTCTCTAATGGGAGTGCAGTTCTCTGGAACTACGGTGACTTTACACACTGCTGCTACTGAGCGTCAGTGGTGGAGAGAGCGGATGCTTGTGGATGTGGTGCCAACCAAGTGGGTTGATGTGTCCTGGATGGTGTCAAGCTTCTTGAGTACCACTGGAGCTGCACCCAACCAGGAAAATGGAGAATATTCAACCACACTTGTGTCTTGTGGACAGGCTTTGGGGAGTCAGGTGGTGTGTTATCGGCTGCTTGAGTTCCTGGTCAATGGTAACCCCCAGGATGTTGACAATGGGGGATTCAGTGATGGTAATACTATTGAATATCAGGGGGCAGTAGTTGGATTGGCTCTTATTGGAGATGGTCATTGCATGGCATTTGTGTGGTTTGAATGTTACTGGTTACTTGTCAGCCCAAGCTTGGATATTGTCCAGATGTTGCAGCATTTGAACACGGACTGCTTCAGTGTCTGAGGAGTTGTGTAATCAATGACCTTCCCTCCATCATAAAGGTCAGAAGTGGGGACATTTGCTAACATTTGCACAATGTTCAGCAACATTTGCAGCTCCTCAGTGTGTACTACTATCTCCAAGATGCACTGCAAAAATTCACCAAAGATCCTTAGACAAACTTTCCAAACCTTTGACAACTTCTATCTAGAAGGACAGCGGATACACGGGAACACCAGCACTTGTAAAAGTTCTCTTCCAAGTCACTTGGAAATACGTCACTATCCTTTACAGTTGCTGGATCAAAATCCTGGAATTCCCTCCCTAAGGGCATTGTGGTTAACCCACAGCAGGAGGACTGCAGCAGTTCAAGAAGGCAGCTCAACACCACCTTCTCAAGAGGCAACTAGGGAGGGACAACAGATGTCAGACAGCCAGCGATGCCCATGACCCATGAGTGAATTTAAAAAAAAAATCCAGTGTCTCCAACCATTTCTTGATATCACGTGGAGTGAATCGAATTGGCTGAAGACTGGTATCTGTGATGCTGGGGACTACTGGAGGAGGCCGAGATGGATCATCCACTCGGCACTTCTGGCTGAAGATGATTGTGAATGCCTCAGCCTTATCTTTTGCACTGATGTGTTGGGCTCTTCCATCATTGAGGATGTGAAGCCTCCTTCCCCAGTGAGTTGTTTAATTGTCCACCATCATTTATGACTAAATGTGGTAGGACTGCAGAGTTTAGATCTAATCCAATGGTTGCGAGATTGTTTAGCTGCGCCTATCACTTGCTACTTATGCAATTAGCCCTGTTTTGTAGCTTCGGCAGGTTGGCTCCCAATTTTTAGGTCTGCCTGGTGCTGCTCCTGGCTTGCCATCCTGCAGTCGATTGGCAATGATCACCATTAGGGTAGCTTTTGAATTGCAGGTTTTGTTCAAGTTTCACCATCTGCCATGGTAGATCTGAACCCATGTCCCCAGTACATTCCTGAAGAAGAGTCGAGGATTAACTATTTCTCGACCAACTGATGCTGCCAGACCTGCCGAGTTTCTCGAGCATTGTTTTCGTTCTCCAAAATTTTAGCTCTGGGTTCTGGGTTACTGGTCCAGTGACTTTGCCACTGCAGCACCTCTCCTGGTTTATAATCTGTTAACTGGATTAACTTCAATAGCAGTGTCAGCAATATTCACAGCACTAGCAGTACTACTGCATGTCAGCAGTTGTCAAGGTGTGACACACTGCCCTGAAAGTCATTTCCGGAGCAGAGGTTGGTTCTGTGCAGTTTGCAGTTGTAGCATTTTAAATAAGCAATTCCATGTTGAACCCTTGCTGGCAAACTGCCCGGTAATTACTGGCAGCTTTCAAGGGTGAACTGTGTAACTTGTTCTGGGCAAGAAGTGCACGCAATCATTTACACAAGCATTTCAGGCACAGCCATTTGCTCAATCTTGCAGCTTTTTCATTGCAACATATTGCATGTAGGGTCCATCAGAGGAGGAACATAGAACATTCTGGATGTCCTCACAATAGCTTTGTAAACAGATACCATTCTCCCCAGTGATAGTAGGAACTGCAGATGCTGGAGAATCCGAGACAACAAGGTGCAGGGCTGGATGAACACAGCAGGCCAAGCAGCATCATAGGAGCAGAGAGGCTGACGTTT